GTGGAATCTGGTGCTGGGAGATCTACTCCGAGTCAAGGGAGACAGTGTCAGCACTGTGGGAAAAACCATTACGGGGCTTGTCGGATGGCTGCTGGGACTTGTTTTCGATGCGGAGATGCCGGACATTTTATCCAGGATTGTCCATTGATTGTTGGTGAGCCTGCACCATCTGGAAGAGTTGGTTCTTCCTCACAAAGAGGACGAGGAAGAGGCAGAGGAAGGAACCCGTCTGAATTCTCTACTCAACCTGAAGTTCGATCCACTGCTCGGGTATACAATCTAAAGACAAGTGAAGACCGTGATGACCCTGATATTATAGCAGGTACTTTTCAGTTGTATGATAAATTAGTATTGGTGCTGATTGATCAGGGTTCTAATTATTCTTATATTACAAGTAAGTTAGTAAAGGAGTTGAGGATTCCTATAGAAGCTACGAGTAATGTGATGATAGTAACTAATCCGTTAGGGCATAGTACTCAGGTGGACAAAGTCTGTAAGGGGTGTCCCATAAAGGTTCAGGGAATTGAATTCCCTGCTAATCTGATGGAATTACCCTTTGACGAGTTTGAAGTGATTCTGGGAATGGATTGGTTGTTTCATTATTATGGGAATGTCGACTGTAGATTGAAAAAGGTAACCCTGAAGAGTCCAGAAGGAATAGAAGTTAATGTGATCAGTGAAATGTGTAATCCTTTAGCAAATGTAATATCAGTGATGTCTGCCAAGAAATTATTGCTACAAGGATGTCAGGGTTTTCTTGCAAATGTGATTGATTCAAGAGCTCAAGAGAAAAGGTTAGAGGAGATTCCAATAGTTCGAGAGTTCCCTGATGTTTTTCCTGCTGAACTGCTAGGATTACCTCCGGATAGAGAGGTAGAATTTCAAATTGAAGTAATGCCAGGAACCGCTCCAATTGTAATGGCACCTTATCGGATGGCTCCGAAGGAATTGCAAGAGTTAAAGAATCAATTGCGAGAATTGTTAGAAAAAGGATTTATTCGACCAAGTGTGTCACCTTGGGGAGCTCCAGTGTTATTTTTTAAGAAGAATGATGGATCAATGCATCTCTGTATTGATTATCGACAACTTAATAAGGTGACCATTAAGAACAAGTATCCCCTTCCGCGCATTGATGACTTGTTTGATCAACTAAAAGGAGCTTCGGTATTTTCGAAGATCGATCTACGTTCGGGTTATCATCAATTGAAGATCCAGGAGAAAGATATTCCGAAGACAGCTTTCAGAACGAGATATGGTCATTATGAATTCATCGTAATGCCATTCGGAGTAACGAATGCACCTGCTGCTTTCATGGATCTCATGAACAGAATTTTTCAGCCCTATCTGGACCAGTTTGTTGTTGTCTTTATTGATGACATACTGGTTTACTCGAAGTCCATTGAAGAGCACAGCACACATTTGAGGCTAGTTTTGCAAATTCTCAGGGATAAAAATCTCTATGCGAAATTGTCTAAATGTGAATTTTGGCTAGACAAAGTAATTTTCTTAGGGCATGTGATCTCGGCAGTTGGGATTAGAGTAGACCCTCAGAAGGTTAAAGCTATAATGGATTGGGAAGTTCCTAAGAATGTGTCTGAAGTTCGGAGTTTTCTTGGACTTGCCGGTTACTATCGAAGATTCGTTAAGAATTTTTTGATGATTGTGCTGCCTCTAACAAAGCTAATGAGAAAGAACGTACCATTTGTTTGGACTTCTGAATGTCAAGAAAGTTTCGAAGCTTTAAAGAGAATTCTGACGGAAACTCCGATATTGGTTCAACCGGAATCTGGCAAGAATTTTGTAGTATACAGTGACGCATCCCATAACGGGTTGGGGTGTGTATTAATGCAAGAAGGAAAAGTGGTAGCGTACGCATCGAGACAGTTGAAACCACATGAAAGGAATTACCCCACTCATGATTTAGAAATGGCTGCTGTAGTATTCGCTCTCAGGATTTGGCGTCATTATCTTTATGGGGAGCGTTGTTACTTATATACGGATCATAAGAGCCTGAAGTATCTGATGACTCAAAAAGAATTGAATTTGAGGCAACGTAGATGGGTAGAGTTCTTAAAGGATTATGATGTGATAATTGACTATCATCCCGGAAAGACTAATGTGGTAGCAGATGCTCTGAGTAGAAAGACGTTTGCAGCTTTACGAGCTATGGATGCAAGATTATCTTTAACGGGAGACGGTGGTCTTTGTGCAGAATTAACCCTTAAACCAGCATGGTTGGAACGAATAGGAGAATTGCAAGGTAAAGATGAAATGTGTTTGAAAAGAATTGAACAAGTAAAGAACAAAGAGATTAAAGATTTTGAGATTAAGTCAGATGGAAATCTATATTGTAAAGGAAGAATTGTAATACCCGACAATGACGACTTGAAGAAAGAAATTTTATCAGAGGCTCATTGCAGTCCGTTAACGATGCACCCGGGTGGAACCAAGATGTATATGGATTTGAAGGATCGATTTTGGTGGTCAGGGATGAAGCGAAGCATCACCGAATTTGTGTCTAAGTGTTTGATATGTCAACAAGTCAAAGCCGAGCATCAAGTTCCATCAGGATTATTGCAACCGCTTTTCATTCCTCAATGGAAATGGGAAAATGTTACGATGGATTTTGTTTCGGGATTACCCTTGACTCCGAACAAAAGAGAATCAATCTGGGTAATTGTTGATCGATTAACTAAGTCAGCGCATTTCCTTCCGGTTAGAACGGATTTCTCTATGGAAAAGTATGCAGAGCTGTATATTAGAGAAGTTATTAGATTGCATGGAGTACCTGTTTCCATAGTCTCTGATCGAGACCCTCGATTCACTTCTAGATTCTGGAAATCTTTGCATGAAGCGTTGGGAACTCGTTTAAACTTTAGTACAGCTTTTCATCCTCAGACTGATGGGCAATCAGAGAGAACTATTCAGATATTGGAAGATATGTTGAGAGCATGCGTAATGGAATTTAAAGGATCATGGGAAAAGTATTTACCGCTGGCAGAGTTCGCTTACAACAATAGTTATCAGTCGAGTATTAAAATGGCTCCCTATGAAGCTCTTTATGGAAGGAAATGTCGTACGCCTTTGAACTGGTATGAGCTCAAAGATAAAGAAGTGCTTGGACCTGAGTTGATTCAGGAAGTAGAAGAAAAGGTCCAGATAATTCAGAGTAATCTCAAAGCTGCAACAGACAGACAGAAATCATATGCAGATCTAAAAAGGAAAGAAATTGAATTTCAAGTTGGAGATAAAGTGTTTTTAAAAGTGTCTCCATGGAAGAAGGTGTTGAGATTTGGTCGAAAAGGAAAATTGAGTCCTCGGTTTATTGGACCATATGAGATTGTAAAAAGAGTAGGACCTGTAGCATATCAGCTAACTTTACCACCTGAGATGGAAAAGATACATGATGTCTTTCACGTTTCAATGCTTCGAAGATATAGATCTGATCCTTCCCATATCGTAAATCCAGAAGAGATCGAGGTACAACCGGATATGACTTATGAGGAAGAACCGATTCAAATTTTAGCACATGAAGTTAAGCAATTGAGGAACAAGACTATTCCTTTGGTCAAAGTGTTGTGGAGAAATCACAAAGTAGAAGAAGCAACGTGGGAGCGTGAAGAAGATATGCGACATCAATACCCTCATTTGTTCGTGCAATGAAAATTCGAGGATGAATTTTCTTAAGGGGGAGAGATTTGTAACATCCTCCATGCCGGGTTAGTGATTAATTTGCAAAGTTTCAACATTTGGTGATTTAAGTAAAATGATGGAAGAGTGTAATGATCTATTTGAGTTATTTGGTGTAGGATTGAATTATAAAGAAGGAGAATTAAGAGGGCAAAAGAGTAATTGAGTAAATGAAATAATTAAATATTCCTTAGGGTGATATTATAAATCACGTGGGCATTTGAGATAAGCATTCCAGACTTTTCTCTTCTTCTCTTCCTTCTCCAACCGTGAAGCTTGCAAGTAAAGGTAAGAATCTGAACCTTGGTAGTTCCTTTGATTTTTAGCTTGGAAATTGAAGTTTGGATGTTATATAAGCTAAAGGAAAGCTTATATGACATTAAGACAACAAGATAAGTGTTTTAGAGATAGATTTGGAAAATGATTTTTTAGATGAAATTTTGATAGGGATGAGTTTTTGAAGTTTGAATAAGATTTTTGACTTGTCAATAAGCTAACTAAGAAGTATGAGGTGTTAGAATTCAAATTAGAACATGTTGGAATTTGGGTTAGATTCTTAAATTCTACATGGAGAATTAGATTTCTAAGTTTTAGAAATATTTAATGGATAATAATTAGCTTAAGTAAGAGTATGCAAGTTAGGAAATAAGAAAGAGGATGATATATGAAGGATTAAGCTGAAAAGAGTGGATTTTCGGGCATAAAAGAGGATTCTGGGCAGAGTGCATCGATGCATATTCATAGTGCATCGATGCATAAAGTTTAAAACCCAGAAATTATTTGAAGGTGTATCGATGCATTGGTAATGCATCGATGCACTCTTTTAAAATAGAAACATCGAATGCAATTAGTGCATCGATGCATAAGTCATGCATCGATGCATCCCAGTAATAATACAACATCGAATGCATTTTATGCACCGATGCATCAGTAGTGCATCGATGCATACCCTCATTAAAGGATGAAATTGGCTTTTCTATGAGTCTAAGGAATGATAGTTTAGAATATATTAATTAGTATACTGATAAGTATCATTGAATTATTATGTAGATACTGAGCCTACACGAGTTCGGGAACAATCTACAAGTAGGATCGATCGAGGAAAAGGCAAAGAAATATAGGTGAGTGCATATGCATAGCATAATTATAGAAATATACTCCATTCTAGACTTGTGATAAGTCTAGATTTTATATCTTGGTACATGAGCATATTCTGTATTATGAGACATGACATGAGTTCATATAAAATGCATTATATGACATGACTATGTGGGAAAAGTTATGAGCTATGTGAAAAGGTAAGAATTTACATGTCTACGCGATATAGACTACGTGAAATGTAAAAGCCCATGTTATGTAGATGAGAACTATAGGTATAGTTGGCATGCCAAGGGTAGAGGGTCTACGCGGTCCTTCGGGACATATGTATATTCTTTAGAACATGTGTGAAGTCTTGAAAGACACATACTTGATCCCTAGTATATGTATATGATTCTTAAGGAATTCTATGTGGTCCTTATGGACATCATTATATGGCACTACGGTGCAATTCTACGCGGTCCTTCGGGATATATATATATTCTGTGGAACATGTGTGAAGTCTTGGAAAGACACATACTTGATCCCTAGTATATGTATATGATCCTTAAGGAATTATATGTGGTCCTTATGGACATCATTATATGGCACTACGGTGCAATTCTACGCGGCACTTCGGTGCATTTATACGAGCTGTGGTGACAGCATAGTGCACAACCTCACATTACTCAGATACCTTAGGTTCTCAATATGCTATCATGGGCCAATAAACTTATTAATACAAATTCATGAATGTTAAAGTCATACGCTTACAGGTATGGATATTGATGATGTAGACTACATTGATTAAGTACATGTTTGCATCTTATTTCATATGATCATGACATTTTCATTACATTGCCTTGTTATTATTATTGCCTCACTAAGTCGATGACTTAGCGTGTGAGTGTTTCACACGTAGGATCCGAGAAAATAGACGAGACAGGTGAAGCAGCTTGACAACATTACTCCTGCAACCACCATATCAGAAGCAACTTAATCAGTAGGTCATTTTGTTATGTAAATGGCAGTTGGCATGTAATTAAAGGGTTAAGTTGTGTATGCTCTGAATATTTTGGTAAACTTATATTACAATATGTATATTATCGTATTTTCTTAATATAAGTTCAAATATTTTGCTATTATTTGTTAAAAGTTGTGTTTTAAAGTCAATGTAGTATCTCTGACTCATATTCGGGTCGGGTACGGGTTGGGGGTGTTACAAATATACTAATTATAAATTAAATTTATTTGTTCTCAAAAGTTAGATAGTATAACGGTTAAAATATTTCTATGAATTTTTATTTAAATATTTATAATTTAATATTAAAGTTTATTTTTTTAAAAAAAATATAATAAGGATAATTTAGTGAACTATGTATTTAAGTAATCTTATATTCCTCTAACCAAACACTGTAATTTTACATTCCTGCTAAACAAACCAAACAAGGTGATACAACATTCTCATGATAACATTACATTCCAGTAATATTATTCTCAAATGTAATCTTACATTCTGTGAACCAAACGCCCAGGTTAATAAAGTAATAGGTTAAAAATAAAAACATTATCACAATAACAGAAAAATTTATTTATATCATGGTATAGTTAAAATTTAATAACCCAATGATATAAATGGAGTTAAAATTAAAATTTCATATTATAATTAAAAAATATGAAAAATTAATTATATAAATGATACACTACCTAAAATCCAATGGTATAGATAATATTTTACCCTTTATATTACTGCGAAGCAATATAAGAGTAGTAACTAAAAATTATAGATAAGCCTGCGGATTAAAGTTGTAAGTTAAACATTAAGGCTATTCCACATTAATGAGTAGAGATTAACATTATCTCATCCAACAAGTTTGGCCAAACCCCATTAAATTAAGACCATTTACTTTTACTATATGAAAAAAAATCTTTATAATTTAGCACCGTCGCCATGTTGGATAACTAATCCGTTTTTTCTTGAAAAAAGATTAGGAGAATTTTGGCTAAGAATTTAAAATATTATCAACAGCACTTGATTTGAGTGACACAATAATGACACCATCAATTATTTTACAACGCATGTCTTAAATTAAGGCAATTATATATATATAAGTACAAGTACATTAACTAATTTCACACGCATAATGAATGGGGATAGGACTAGTCCCATAACAATATCAACAAAGATCATGTGATGGCCCCTAGCCAAGTAGCATGTCTATGCCCATGTGCTAACCTATTGGCTTGGCACCCACAATCGCAACATCATCACACCTATGTTCCTTTCCACCCCCCACCAACAACTCCTCCCATTTGCAAACCAATGAGCCTCTCCATGTGTGCTCAACTTGAAGCTTAATCCTCTAATACCTTTGAATGGATGGGCCATGCATGTCAATACGAACGTACATAAAATCTTAGGTTAGAGAATAAATTTATAATATTTTAAATAATGAAAATATATCATCAATAAAAATATAAATAAAATATTTAAATTATATAATAATCTAAATTTTTTAAAAAGTAAAACTCGCCCTCAATCCATCATGCATGTGGGGTGGGTGCTATTGGCATAACTTTGTGCCACAAATGCAGACAATGGTTTCTCGCCTGTTTCATTCCTCCCACAAAGGTCCTTTAACTCCTCCACCACCAAGTCAAAATATTTACGGTGTTCCCCTCTCCAGGTATTTGAAAGTGGGGTCGTTCTCCTTTGTTGGGTTTACCCTAAATTTTCTTATTTTTGTCTTTGATGGGAACAAACAAAGAAAGTGAGGTAAAAGAAATACACGCTTGTTGGGAAGGTGACATGCACATGGGTTTTGAATTCCTATCTTTTAAACGCAACCAATGATGCTTTGTTTTTGAAATAAATATTTCACACCCACAAGAAGTCTTGTTTAGGAGAGAAAGTTGTAGTGGGGCAAGCCAATAATTTTTCTATTGTGTAAGTCGGTGATGCTTGCTCCCTTATCTTTATAATGGCAATAAACAGGAAAAAAATGTATTCCAAGACCGAATAATTTTACATTTGTATACTTGTGCTATAGTAGGCCTGACACATTATTTCGTATTAAGAGATAAAATTTTAAAAGATATCAGCTTTTAAAATTCTAAGGGTGAAAATAAATTTTTTCAATAAAAAAATATTTAAAAATTAAAAATATATTATAATTTTAAATTTCCAGAGGTAAACTGCCTTCACTCACATCTTTCGATCCATCCTTGTACCAAGTAAAGATGAATTTTACAATATATTTTGGCTCTTATCACTTTTGAGAATTATTAACTAGGTCAGTATTATACATTTATCGAGAAGAAATAAATGATCAAATTAGTTTGAATTTATTTTTAAATTGTTATATTTTTGTGATTCATCTATATGATACTTTTTTTTGCATAATAATTAACAAATTCAGGACTTATCTTATAATATCTTAATTGATTATATTTTAGTTTCATAAAAATGAAAATCTTCAGTTCCTTCTGCCCTTTATTAATATAAAGAATTATTCTTACTATCACCGTCCTCCAAAATAAAATAAAAATGATTAAATTAGATCTTCCGATATACAATACTAATTTAAAGAGTGTAGACATGTTTTTATCTCGTCTACAAAATCATTTTATTATATTATATATTTATTTATTATTATTATTATTATTATATTTTTATTTTATTATTTTTGTAGGCCCTGCACTCAATAACCTCGATTTAGTGAGATTCAGAAAATAAACCAGCGTATTTGAGTCCTATTAAAACACTAAAACTAACGTATTTGAGTCCTATTGAAACACTAAAACCGAAACATTTTGAGTCCAACTAGGACTCTAAATCTGAGCTAAAAATAGGTTTCTTTAGACTATAAATAGACTAATGCAACAAGAGGAAAGGACACAAAGAAAGACGTAGAACTAAAACCAAAGGAAGGGGCAACGATTTGAAAAACCTGATGGAAGAAAATGAAAAAAAATAAGAGTGGAGGATCCAAAGCCAGTATCTAAGAGCACGAAGAGTGGCAGAGCATTTTCATTGCAAATCCAGTTTCTTTACACGCAAAACATGGGAGATGTAACAACTTTTGACTTATTATTTTTATTTCATTTTTTATTTATTTACTTTATATATATTCTTCATTTTCTCCTAATTTTAATATTTTTATTTCTTTTTACATTGTTATATATATATATATATATATATATATATATATATTATTTTATTATATATTATATTATACTTTTTATATATATATTTTTACATATATATATATATTATTTTTTATTAATATTATTATATTAATACTTTTTATTATTCTTTTCTCATGTTTATTTTTATTTTTACAATCCAACACTTTTGATATTTTAGGGATACTTTCAATCGATCAAAGATAATTAATTCAAATTGAATTTTTAAATTTCAATTTAAATTTTAATTTTCGCGATTAAGACAACCGATGAATTAATTGGTACCAAAAAGGCGGTTCAAGGGTGCTAATCCTTCCTTGACCGTAACCGACTCTCGAACCTGATACGTTTCTGGTACAATGCAGATCAGGTAAGATGGTGTCTGGTCTACCTAAATTCTTTTTAAACGGTCGGTGGCGACTCTAACCCAATCAATTCACGTCAAAGCCCAATTCGGGGCCCAACCGAAAGACGGTTCCGACAGCTTGGTGACTCCACTAGGGACAAGTAAGTGAGTCAGGCCGAAATTAATTTCCAGTTATCTTTTTAGCGAAAATTACAAGTTTAAATTTTAATTTATTTATTTGATTCTAATTATTTATCTATGATTATTTTTCAAATAAATAGTTGTACTGACATATTTTCAATGATTTCATATTTTTGAAAAGTTTTCATCTCTGACTCTATACCCAAGCTCCGAACCCTTTTTAAGTGGGGGTGAAAGCGACGCCTTCGTGAGAATTTATTTTACGTGTGGGCCTAGCAAATAGCCTTCGAGATTCATATACTTTATGTCTTCTTGTGAATTTATTCATCGTGCGGGCATAAGAGAATGTATCATCTCGAGTTTAACTTAGTCCACATAAGCTTGTAATGGGTTTAGGACTAAGGGTTTGACAAGCCCAAGGGGGCACCAGCAAGGAGAACTCGAGTACTTTTTTTTAGAACCTAAATCAGAAGACTACAAGGAATTAGAGTATACCCAAAACCCCATTCCAAACCCTAGGCTACTTTGTTTCCTGCTTTACTTTCTGTTCAAAGCATGCGAACTAGACAAATATGCGGTTAGGATTTGTTTGAAATTAGTATGCGGGATAGAGATCGTATCCGGGTAGGAATTAAAGCATATGGGGTAGATATCATGTGGGGTAGGATCTTTCATTTTTATTATTGTTTTGATTTAGCTCACTAACTCTTTTATTTTTTGTTCTCTTTTATTTTGTTTTCATCATTCGCATCATTTAAAAGAGGTATTGATCCACCAAAAACGTGTTTGTTAAACATGAATAATCTACATTAATGGACAAAGGGGTTGTAATACAAGAGATGAAAATGCAGAGGACAATCTACAAGGCGACTATGTGTCACATTCAATCCAGAAGACGTGGTGCCCACAATTAAAGATTATATCACTCTGCTGCATTATAAAGGACTCAGAATGAACTGGGTCTGCATCAAGCACAATGAAAGTCTATCTTTGAAGAACTGACTAGCAGAGGTTGTAGGGGCAATATGAAGGTTACCGATCTTGGGAGTCCCTTCAAAGACAACAATGGCAAAATGATGGCTGAAATTGGAGACCATTGCTGAAGAATTCAAGAAACAAACAAATAAACTTCACATAGTTCCTATTAATTGAGGGCTCCAATGACGTATTCGTTGGGAACATGTTCAACAAAAGATAAATGCCAGAGATACAGTCATTCGATACTTCTTGGGCCAGTACAAAAAGCAACTCAACATTTGCACGGTTCAACCAGAGAAGCTAGAGCGGTTCGACAAGTTATTCAATCGGTGACAGACGAAGGCAGAATACTAGTCAACTTGTCAGAAGCTGTCAGGATATTTTTGTCTCTTAAAAGATAAAACATTTTTGTCCCCAATAAGGATTATTTCTAATAACAGATACATTTTTTGATCAATACCTCGAACATTGCGTGCATCATGCATTCCTGCATATTTCGCGTTATTTTTTTTATTACATTCAAATGTCTCATAAAAATGAGAACATTTTGATTCTATTCCCAGGACCTATAAAGAGCTTTACCAGCAACTTCCTGACACCCATGTAGTGTCACCATACCTGGTGGAAACCATGAAGTCCCCATACCCCAAATGGTATGACGAGAATGCTCATTGTGAATATCACGGTGGTGTCCCAAGGCATACAATTGAGAATTCTTATGCATTCAAGAGAGTCGTGCAGAAGATGTTTAACCAGAACTGGATCGACTTCAACAACTTGGGGGCATCAAAGTGAGGAAGATCATTTCATCATTTGAGGCATTTTGTTTGAATTTGTTTTTCATTTTTTTCTCAAGTTTTTGTAAGGACTTTTAAATAAATTTATGTTACTTTAAAGACGTTAAGCAATGAATCACATTTGCAAACTTGCAATTCTTTGAATATCATCTGAATTAAGAAACTCTGTAAATGGTTCAAAGTTACAGATCTTTGACGAAGTAACATGATTTAAAACAAGGAATTTGACTTTACCCAGAATATGCACTCAAACATCGTACCATGCTCTTACAATAAACCAATATAACCTTTTTCCTTTCATAAGGTGCAGACAACATGGGGTATCCTTTTGCATATGACATTACTATACTTTTTATTTAAGACGTTCAATGATGATCATTATCTTTACAGATGGAATAGTCGAGTAAGTAAATCTAGTTTAGGTCAGTTGCTTGGAAATTGAATTCTAAAAATGAGATTCCTTGACTTTCAACAACACCTAGACTATAACAGGTTTTTCTTGACAAACTTAAGAAATTAAATCCGTAAAGCTGAGCTATTCCACTAAGGAAATTGGTTATAGAGGAAACTTGAAAGCCCTGGCCTTATGAGTAGATTACGTTTAAACCATGATATTGCTCGAACACTTGGCAATTCGGTGTTTGCTCCACTGCTATTGCTCGACCGAAGAATTTGGGATGAGATGAACCCTTCAGTTAACTTGATAAAACTGATTATAATGTTAAGTTGTCCCTCTAAAGCAATTGGTTAAATGCCCCGGCTTTATGGATTCAACTAGCCAGATAACGTCAAATTAAATCAAATTTATCTAAGCAAGAAATTTTCGGTAATGATGGACTAAGGGAGTTAAGGAACACCTGTTATAGTCAACTTCACACGAGCACTCAGGAATTTCATTTTTAGACCGATATTTCTGCACTACCTTTGTTAGATGAGCTTACGAGGCTTGAACAAATGGAAGATTTCAGATGACCAAAATAAAAGGTCTAGTAATTGATCATGCTAGTTGCGTCATTTTTTCCGCACCAAATTAAAATGCCAAACCAAAAAAAAGAACGTTGCATTAACAAAAAAAATGACTTTTTTATGGCTGAAACCTTAGGTCAACCTAAAGCCAACTCATCCATTTGAACATTTGTCAAAGAGCTGTAACTCTGAAAGCATTAAAAGAGCTATTGATTCCTTTGATATACTTTGAACTCATGTTTGTAATTTGATTCAATTGCGAATAATATTTTATAGAATTTTTATCATTTTCCCTCTAAAACAAGAAAAATGAGAAAAACATTTTCAAACAATTTTCAAACAAGACAGTCTTAAATATGAAAGGTCTGTAAGGCCAAAGCTTGAAATTGGGCATGGTCGATTCCAACGACAAGAGCAGCAGACAAAAATGAGGCTCCATCCAAGAGATAAAACAGAATTAATTCATGTTGCATGCATCTTAGACACACTTAAGAGCATCACATTTATTATTTTTAGCATACATATTTTTTTTACAGCTTTTAGAGTCAAATTTCAACTTCAAGATGAAAGATAATCGATTCAAAAAGTACATTCGGAAATTGATGGTGGTTGCTCAACTTCACAGTGAAGGGGCGACTGACGGTCAACAAATAACTTTTCAGTTTCATTCAGAGTCAATTTCAACTTCACATCGAATGATATTGGACTCGAGACAACACAAGCTCAACTTCACAGCGAATGAGCGACTGACTGTTAACAAACAACTTTTCAATTTCATTTAGAGTCAATTTTAACTTCACATCGAAGGATATTGGACTCGAGACAACACAAGCTCAACTTCACAGCGAAAGGGCGGCTGACTGTCAACAAATAACTTTTCAGATTCATTCAGAGTCAATTTCAACTTCACAGCGAAGGATATTAGACTCGAGACAACACAAGCTCAACTTCACAGCGAAGGGGCGACTGATTGTCAACAAACAACTTTTCAGTTTCATTCAGAGTCAATTTCAACTTCACAGCGAAAGATATTGGACTCGAGACAACACAAGTTTAACTTCACAGCGAAGGGCCGACTGGCTGTCAACAAACAACTTTTCAGTTTTAGAGTCAATTTCAACTTCACGGAGAAGGTTATTGGCCTCGAAACAACACAAATATTTGGATTTCAACTTCATGATGAAGGATATCCAATTCCAGGCTCAACTTCACAACGAAAGAGCCATCCACGGTTTCAACTTCATGACGAAGGGAATCGTGCCCACCAAAGACCTTCGAGTTTGACTACGCTCAGCTCCAAGGCACATCATTTACAACATAGCTTAAGTTGAGAAGGGCTATCTGCCAAAGACCCTCGAGTTCGATTACACTCAGCTTCGAGGGCACATCATTTACAATATAACTCAAGGTTAGAAGGGTTATCTGTGACCAAAAGACCTTCGAGTTCGACTACGCTCAGCTCCAAGGCATATCATTTGCAACATAACTTATGTCGAGAAGGGTTATCTGCCAACCAAAGACCTTCAAGTTCGACTACGCTCAGCTCCAAGGCACATCATTTGTAGCATAACTTAAGTCGAGAAGGGTTATCTGCCAAAGACCCTCGAGTTCGATTATACTCAATTTCGAGGGCACATCATTTACGACATAACTCAAGGCTAGAAGGGTTATCTGTCAACAAAGACCTTCGAGTTCTACTTCACTCAGCTCAAAGGCACTATCATTTGCAACATAGTTCAAGACAAGAATGGTTATCTGCCAAAGACCTTCGAGTTCGATTTCATTCAGCTCGAGGGCGTATCAACCGCATTGCATCAGCAAGGAACTACTTTTCGGTCAAATTTTTACACCCAGGTCTCTAAATCGAGAAGAAGACCAAGGTCGACCAAGATTGACAACAAAGAGTCACTTTCCGATTCCCCATGATTTCAACTTCAAGAAGAAGGATATCGTGCCCAATGGATAGACTTAGTGTCACAACAAACACTATCAAGTCTCAAATCAAAGAGAACCAGACACAAACTGGTTTTTTTTCATCTTTGCCCTATTCTTGTTAACACAAAAATGTGCAAAGAGGGGCAGCTTTAGACACCCGTTTTTGTCCTGGTATACAAAAACATTTTATTATATTATATTATATATATATATATATATTATATTTTTATTTTATTATTTTTATAGGCCCCGCAGTCAATAACATCAATTTAGTGAGATTCAGAAAATAAACCAACGTATTTGAGTCCTATTGAAACACTAAAACCAACGTATTTGAGTTTTATTGAAACACTAAAACCGAAGCATTTTGAGTCCAACTAAGACTCTAAATCTGAGCTAAAAATATGTTTCTTTAGACTATAAATAGACTAATGCATCAAGAGGAAAGGACACAAAGAAAAACGTGGAATTAAAATCAGAGTAAGGGGCAACGATTTGGAAAAACTGAGGGAAGAAAATGACAAAAAATAAGATTGGAGGATCCAAAGCCAAAGCCAGTATCTAAAAGCACGAGGAGTGGCAGAGCATTTTCATTGCAAATCTAGTTTCTCTACACGCAAAACATGGGAGATGTAACAACTTTTGACTTATTCTTTTTATTTCATTTTTTATTTATTTACTTTATATATATTCTTCATTTTCTCCTAATTTTAATATTTTTATTTCTTTTTTACATTGTTATATATATATTTATTTATTTATTTTTTATTAATATTATTATATTAATATTTTTTATTATTCTTTTCTCATGTTTATTTTCATTTTTACAATCTAACACTTTTGACTTTTCAGGGATACTTTCAATCGATCAAAGATAATTAATTCGAATTGAATTTTTAAATTTCAATTTAAATTTTGATTTTCGCGATTAAGACAACCGATGAATTAATTGATACCGAAAGAGCGGTTTAAGGGTGCTAATCTTTCTTTGACCGTAACCGACTCTCGAACCCGACATGTTTCTGGTACAATGCAAATCAGGTAATATAGTGTCTGGTCTACCTAAATTCGTTTTAAATGGTCGGTAGCGACTCTAACCCAATCAATTTACGTCGAAGTCCAATTCGAGACTCAACCGAAAGACGGTTCCAACAAAGAGTTTGCGTATAAATGGGATTCATATGTACGGCATTTGTTCTTTTGTTTAAATAATAACAACAATAATCATACGTGGATAGAGATCTTCATATATATTCAAAGTCTACGGTCTATACAATTGTACCTAACTTTGTAATTTTCCCCTCACCTCTTAGCCTCTTCATGTAGTAGTTGGACTCATTTCCTTTTGAATTATCAAAATATAAACCATGAAATCTTGGTTATTGGTTTTATTAAAATTAGTGCGACGTCCATCATATAATTTAAGAAGATTATTTTCGTACATAAATAATGTCAAACTCTTGATTTCATGCCGTTTCAAGTTTGTTGTCTTTGACATTGAAATTATGAATTCTTTTAAACGTGAAAATTAATATTTTATATTATTTATTTGACTACAAACTTTTGTCTTATGAGAAATCTCAATAATTAATTACACTGCTTAAAATAATTGGCGTGCCATGTTAAAACTATAAAAACATATGATATAAAAGTATTTTGTATAAAATATAAAACACGGTTAATAAATATATAAATAAACTTTTACCGAATTCTAAACATTCATCATCGCCAACGTCGACCCTCCAAAACCATCCAGCTCCCACGGGATCAAGTGCCCGTCAAATCAAATCAGGTGCCCCCCCCCCAAACACCCAAAGAAAAAGCCACGTCTATATTGTTTAAATTAATTAGTTAAAAATAAAAAAATTAAATTTATTAAAATCAAATATGAATATTTCCTTTGTTTTCGCTTTTCCTTTCTTTACATCATAATTTATGCAATAAATTTTAAGCATCAATAATGATTGGAAGTATATTTTGGGTAGGTGGGGTATTTATATTATCTTTCAAATTCCAATTGATTAGCAATTATAATAATATTATCTTTGAGTCAAAATTTCAAACTTGATCGGCAAAATTCGCATAATATTTTACGTCTTAATTATTGTTTCTTTTTGCAAATTTTATATTTAATTTTGGTTGTGCAAGTGACAACTACCCAAAATCTCGATCTCATGTTGGTTACTTGTATTATTTATAAGTGATGACCGTGTTTTATAGGTGACCCGACTTTTTTACAAGTTAGCCGACAGAAGCATTATTGGGAAATGCTTACACAGTGTATAGGATAAGGAGGCAGTAGGTCCCCCATTGCTCTCCCACTTCAGCTTTCTACTTAAGCAAACATACTCATTCTTGGTCTTTAATCATATTTTATTTTTTAGTACAATTATAAAAAAAACACCCATAATATATAATTAAATAATTATTTTAGTATTTTATTTTCTATAAAATGATTCTTTATTATATATAAATTGTAAATAGACTAACCATCAATATTCTTTATCCGTGAAATAAATTTATGTTTAGAGTGTTGACGTGGTATGTGTCACATATTTAGGGACTGTTTGGATTATGGAATTGAGGATTATAGGTAGGATTTTTTTTCTAGATTGTAATACTCACGTTTGGATGGGAATGATTCCCAATAAGGGAGTAATAAACTATTCCCAACAGTAAAATTTTATGGCATTTTATCGAGAATGCTAATCTCATTCTTTGCTTAGGTATTTGTTTTTTCCCTTCAACTTGGACTAAAATGCCCTTGAAACAAAAGATTTATTTCAAAAATACCCTTACTTTTATTTTTAAAGCTATAGTCTTTTGTTTTCATAAATTTGTTAAAATTTATTTTCCCAAACCACAACTATATTTGTCCTTTTTTTACTATCCAATCCTGTTATACATTTTATTTATTTATTTATTATCATCACTTTTTATATATTAATTAAGATTAAAAGAATATATGGTATATTTACTCTTTTTTGTTGGATAATTCAATTTCATTACCCAAGAAAACAGAGAACAAGCTAAATAAAAAATTGATCCCTACATAAACAACAATTTAAAACTACTGAACAACCAGTAAAACATCAACAATTTAAAACTACTGAACAACCAGTAAAACATCAAAGAACAAAAAAACAACACCCCAACTCAAAAGATACCCCAACTTGCACAGAGGGCAACATTCATCCGGTCAGCTCTGTTGATAGTCCAGTCACTCAATCGAATCTGGATGGCTTCTCGAACATCATTCATCACCTCATCCACCACTCTAGCTCTACCCCGAATAACCTGCTATTTTTCTCCTTCCAAATGCTATACACATGACCAGCCAAAGCAAGTTTCATCACTTTCACAATGAGATACTTACCTTTGAAGCATTGAATAGCCCATGCCAATTCCCTATCCCAAAAGCTAACTCCACGATTAACACCGCATAAAGTAAGCATAATACCCCATAATTCTCTCACAAAACCACACCCAAAGAACAGATGATCCCTAGTCTTAGCCTCAATACCACAAATCATACATTTGTCATTATCAATATTCAATCTCATTCGTAGAAGCCTAACCCGAGTAGGGAGTCCATCCAAGATAGTCATCCACAAAATAATGCTTTGCTTTGGAATACGCCCAATAAACCAAACCAACTGATGCCAAAAGACCTTATGAGCCTTAATGCGCAAATCCTCCCAAATCTATCTTGTGTTAAGATCTCTAACCGAGCTAGAAAATAACTGAGAAATAACAGGCCTCATTTTCAATATACTCTTGAAGCTCCAGCTGGTATTTAAAGGGATACTCATCTGCTAAAACTCAGAATTCTTAATCACATAAGAGTGAATCCATACCACTCATAGAGAGGCTTCATTAGCCAATAACTTTTTAATCAAATGCACAATGCATACTTTATTCCAGCCACATATATCTATTACACCCAGACCCCCTTCAGATTTCAGTAAACATATTTATCTCCAGTTAACTCGAGCACCATTAGTACACAGATCGGCCCCCTTCCAGAAGAACCGAGAGCATAATTTTTCAATTTTCCTAATTATCGCTTGAAGTAGAATGATTTGTCTACACCAGTCGTTAGTTATACTGAAAAGAACAGCTCGAACAAGTTGCAGTCTACCAGTAAAGCTCAAGTTCCTATTAACCCACGAATTCAACTTTCCCTAATTTTATCAATCAGGCATTGGCAATCTTTCGCTGCAAGCTTTCTAGTCACCAAAGGGACTCCCAAATATCTCACAGGTAGTTTCCCTAATTTAAATCCAGTAATATCTTTTGTAACAGTGCACTGCACAGCAAATATCCCAACAACATAGATCTCACATTTAGTGGCATTTAACTTCAACCTCGACATCGTATAGAAAGCATCTAATACATACTACACACCAATGATAGAGTCTATAGAACCTTTGCAGAATATAAGTAGGTCATCATCAAAACAGAGGTGAGTTAGGCTAATCTTTCTACTCTGGGGATGGAATTTAAAAAGTCCCTTCAAAGCAACCATATTCAGTAAACTAGACACTACATTCATTGCAAGGACAAAGAGGTATGGTGAGAGGGGGTCACCCTTCCTTACACCTCTAACATCCCTAAAGTAACTAACTATGCTTCCATTAAACACGATATAATAACTAGGGTTTGTAAAATAAGCCTAATTCCAGCCAATGAACTTCTTAGGCAGACCCAAAACATACAGAATAACACCAAAAAACTCCCAATTTAAAGAATCAAATGTTTTTTGTAAGTCAGTTTTCAGAGCACACCTTGGAGAAATATTACTTATAGCATAACCCCTAACAAGCTCTTGAGCAAAAAAAGTGTTATCCACTATGCTCCTCCCCTTTACAAATGCAGTCTGATTTTTAGAGATCATACTAGGGAAAACAGAAGACAACCAATTAACTATAATTTTTGTCATTATCTTATAGATCACAAAACAACAAGAAATAGGTCTAAAATCTTTAACAATATTTGGATTAGGCAC